ACTATTATTCTAATAAGTTGGTCTTCTACTTTTTCTTCACAATGGACTGCATCTACTACTTTCTCATTCTTTTTTTTAAGAGTATCAACCTAAACTTGTGTTCATTATAATAAAATATTATAGCTAAGAATTTAGTATTTGTATCACATATTTTAAGTCAACAGTGTACTTATTTAAAAATAACAAAGGTTATTTGTAATTTAAATATATATAAATTATACATAAAATAATTAGTAGACATTCAATTTCTGCATCAAATGAATAAACTCTTCCTCATCAACCTCGCCATCACCATTCTTATCCGCCTCTTCAATCATCTCTCGTAACTCATTATCATCCATATTTTCGTTTAACTCTTGCGCGACTCGCTTCAAATTCTTGAATGATATTTTCCCAGTCTCATCGTCATCAAACATGGCAAAGATCTTTTTAAATTCCACTTTGATATCACGTTCAGACTTGTCGATATTGTTGTCAGTAAATAGAAATTTAGCGTGTCAAATGATGTATTATTTTATTTAAAGATTTCCCTCTTATTATGCAAATGCGTAACGCAAAGATAATAATTGCTACAATTCAACCACTCATCCACAAAAAAAGCGCGCACACAGAATATGGAACACATTCTAAAAACATCAAGAATGTCAAGAACAAAATATAATACAAACCAATTTCGCGTCAACAATTTGGACAAAGGTATCATAGCCAATTTGACCGTTTTCCGAAGAATCAAGGTCGCTTATCATTCTTTTTAACTCATCCTTTTTCAACTCAAAACCTAATGCACGCATAGCAACCTTGAGGTCTTTTGAGTCCATTTCGGTTTCACCTTCTGGGACAAACATGTCAAAAGCATCACGTATTTCTTTGTGTTGCTCATCGGTTAAGTCTATTGGAATGGGTCTGGGCTTCACGCGTCTAGATGCTGTTGATGTAATAGTGCCTCCGTATTTTTTTGATGAGCCACTACTGCTAGAGCGTCTGCTTGACTTTAGAAAAATAAAGTAAATTTAGATCACGCTAAACTATAAAATTCACGTAAAAAAGAAAAACTCACCATTATTCTTCGCTTTGATTCAAATAACCAATAACAATAACTTCAATTAACATCCAATTCATCCAATTGAATGTTTGTTACTCATTTAACAAATGAAATCATATATTATTGAAAAAAATGTTGCACATGACTATAAAAAAAATGAGTATCATCTACTTACCTAAGTTGCATTTATCGAACTCAAGACAATGGTTGACAAAGAAAATATTCCAAGTGAAGAAATTTTGAACGAAAAAGTAATGAATTGAATTAATATAAATTTGAAAAAACTGTTTTACGAAAGTATTTTTTTTTTTAGTGGGACAAATGTATATCCAATTTTTTGGTAAAAACGGGTATTGGACTAAGCGTTGGTATCATCGCGTCAGCTCTTATATTTAGGAGTAAGTTGTTTTTATATATCTTTCTATGAAAAAAAAACCACTAATTATCATCAAACTTAATTTTTTTTAAGAACGAACATGGCCGATTGCTATGTCTACAGGATTTGGGATTGGTGTAGCTTATGCGGATTGTCAACGAACCTTTGTTCCAACACCTATTCCCGGTGTTCGCATTGTAAAAGCCTACAAGAACATCATTTCTGATGAATCTTAGAAAAGTTTGTGCAAAGAAATTGAAGACTGACGTAAATTTTGAATTACATAATAGAATTTGGTTTAAATATATATATATCCTAATTTCCTCTAAGCATATATATCATATCGGTAAATATTTTATAGATAATTTGATAATAAATTAATTTGATTCGGAATTAGAATAATGAATAATTTAGATAAAATAAATATAATTCCCTTCAAAATTCTATATGGAAGAATTATCATATAACAATGCTTTCAATCCTGCATGATCATCCAAATTCTCCTTAATGAAACCTTTGGAAGAAGTACGCGTCAATAATGGAACAACACTCATCTCCGTCCATGTATTCCATACTCGTTCTATGCCATCTACTGCAACTTGACTAATAGCAATACAAAAAATTGCATCAAATCCGCCGGCTATTTGATAATAGTATTAATAACAAAAGCAAAAAAACATAATAAAAATTTTATCATTTACTCGCCTCCGGGAACGCCTGCCATTAATACACCCGGCACTTCCATGCAAGCATCCAGTAATCGAGTTTGCACCGGAGGTTCAATAGAAACGTCAGATTGCGTGGACATCTCACGTAAAAGCTCACGAACCATCTTTTTCCACAAAAATGATCAAATTAATTTATGCGTAAAAATTAACCCAGAATATAAGAATTATAAATTCATACTTGAAACGATGTATATATGCGGGAGAGAAGCTGAATAACTTTATTCCCAGAATTTTTTTCGGCGAGTTGGGAAAGCTGAAATGTAACATAAATAAATAAATGAATTATCAAAACCTAATTTTTGAAAAATACATTATACTAACTTCAGATCCTTTTGAAAGGGAACCTAAATTAATCCCATCAATATATGCTGAAGGGTCACCGGTATATATTTCAGATAATTTATGCATATTTTCAACAATAGAATTATTATAGGTGCCAAGCCTCTTCCATAAAGAATTCGCTATATATAAGCATAAAAAATTAACTTCTGCAGTATAATAATACAACAAAAAAGTTCTTAATCAAGATTCAAACCTTGGTCTAAATTATTCTTACGCCACGTCAATACTTTTCCTACCATACTTGGTGTGTGAGATCCGGCATCAATGTCGGCTAAGACTAGTAAAAATTCGGGCGGAAGAGAAAAAGGTGTAATTACATTATCCCATCTACAAATAAATAAAATTATCATTAGAGAAGTTTTAATTAATAATATCGTATAGTTCATAATTACTTATTTTCTGGGGAAACGCTTTTGTAAATATCTTCAAAATTAGATGTATTCTATTAGATAGTCATAATTAATTAGTTTTCTCGTTAGGCATTACAAGCAACCCCGCCCCGTTAAACCGAAGACGTTTACGCGGTGACTTTCCTTCATCTTACTGGGATCTTCGGATTAACGGGTGCCTTTATTAATTATCCATAAGGTGTGTTTCAAAAAACCTTCGGTTTAACAAGGCATTCGGTTTAACGGGTTTCGGTTTAACAGAATGACTATATATGTAATCCGTAATACCAGTAAGGTGAAGCTATTTACCATAATCGAGTCTAATATGCTAGGTGAGAAACGTCGATAAACTTGACTTCCCCAAACAGCAACGGAAACATCGAATCCTGAACCAACTTTTCCTTGCGCCAAACAATGACAAAATTGTGCGATATTATGCACTAAGGTTCGACCGTATGTATCACCCTTATCTTCGGCAGCGATATCGATAGCCTCGAAATTAATAAATAAGGCGGCAACAAGGGATGTTATCATGGATGCAGAAGAGCCCAACCCGGTTTTATGTACTCCCTTTAACGTGATATTTAACTTACGAAAAGAGTCCAATGATCTTAATGAGGAAGCAGTAAGAGGAAGATTACACTCATTGAGCTGTAAGCATCAATAAAATTTCAGTAAAGGATAAATCTTTTAGGTTCGTTTGATTGACAAATTCAATTACCTGTTCACGTTGCGAGTAAAAATCATTATCGCCAACAATATAAATATCTAGTCCATTCCGCAATTTCTCTTCAAACTTTTCGGCAGAAACGCGCTTTGAAATAATTGCCAAAGAATATTTAATAGCAATTTCAATATATGAATTTTTAAAGTTTCCACCCCTTAAAAAGAAATTGAATTATTTTATTAATTTATAGACTCATTATTTGTGATACTATTCCACTTGAATAATTACTACTGCTCACTTGTTTTCGAGTTCGTAGGATTCTTGAATATACGCGTATTCCCAAATTGCATTTAGAAATTGTGGCGACCTTACAGTAACTTTCCCAAAAGAATCATAATTTCCTTTTTCTATAATAGTGTAAAATCTCGTGTCTGTTCCTAAAACAAGGCCTTCATATTCTCTATCAAGAACAAGATAACCGCCTGCAATTAGAACTTTTCCGGGAGCAGAGACAACTGTTGCTTTAGCCATGTTGATCTGCATAATTAAACACAAATTGGAGGGAACACTAAAGCCGGGTAGTGCAATTCGGATCGAGTCAATTCAGATATGATCTGGGTTGATTTGATCCAGATTTACAAGTCATTTCACATGTAAAAGAAAAAAATTTTGTTTATTACAAGGATGTAGTAAATATATTGATAAATATTATTTATTACAAGACAGCATTGCTTTTTTTAAGGAAGAAAAGGAAAAGAAGAAGAAGAAGAGAGACTAAGATTATTAAGAATATATTTTTGATATGATTAAAATATATGACAGATTATGCTAATATGATATGATTGTTGATTAATCTGACTAACTCTGTTTTATTATTTATATTTGCTTAAATAAGCATAATATCTTCTCAATTTTTTTACTCACACATCCTGTATTATTAGTCAAAGTAAATACTTTTCTCTTAATTAAAACTTCTCTTTTATATTTTCACCTATATGAAAACTCTTTTAATCTTCATATAAATTTAAAGTTTTTAAAGATTATATAATCTGTGCTTTGTGAAATATGCCAGTTGATAATATGGAAAATACTTAACAGATTTGTTAATTATGTACTTATTTACTTTAATTAACAAAGTTTTTTTTAGAAAATAATATTTTTATTTTAAGTAAACTTTATTTTGGATTTCATATTATTAGAGTTTATTAATAATTTTTTTATTAATTTTATTAATTTATTTATTATTATTTAGTTTATAATTTATTAATATATATAAATTTTCTATTATTATAGAGACTTTTATTATACATGTTATTATTTATTAAGTAATATTTATATATTTTAATTATGTTATAGTTTTTTTCTTGAAATCTTTTACCTGATGTTTTAAAACTAATTCTTTCTCATAATTATATTTATTTAATCTAAAGATTTGATATCTTATCATCATATCAAATGCAAGAAAACTTTGAAATTAAAAATTTTAAGTTAGATATATTTATAAATATATATTATAATCAATCACCTATTCATATAGTATAGTAGATATGATGCAGTATATAATGTAATTACAGTATGTAATATAGTAATTGCTAATTATTACTAAATTAGATCAACAAGAAATTTATATTAATTAATCATATTTATTATTAATTCTATTTTTAGTTTATATTATTACTCATATTTAATCTTATTTTTTTATTAATTTAGCTATATATATTATACTTAATTTATAATTTTATTAAATTAATAATTATCTAATTAATTATTATTAATTCTCTTTCTTTTCTTGCTTTAGTTTTAAATAACTTAATATTTTGCTAATTTTAATTTCTTATTATCATATATTTAATATTCTTTATAATTATTTTTTTCAAATTCTACTTATTCTTGAATAAATTAAATGAAATATCATATTAGAATTGATTTATAATTAGTGTAGTAAGAAAATATTATATATAGAAAGTCAAGAAAAGATTAAGAAGAATAATTAAGTTTGGTAAAAAGAATTAGTTACTAAGTTAAAAATAGTTAATTAGTATTTTTCTTTTAATAAATATATATATTTTATTATATATCTTATCTTATTTTCTTTTTACTCTATTAAGAGAGTATTTTATTAGAAGTAAAATATATATAAATTATTTTATTAAGAAGATAATTATATTTTATCAAAAGTAAATCTTGTATATATTATCTTATTAAAAAGATAATTGATCATAAAATTTCTTGAAATTATAAAAATAAATAATTATCATAAATACAATCATTATTATTATTTTAAAATATTTATATATATATAAACTTAAAATAGTAACAGTCTTTTTAATACTTTCTTTGTGAAGATAAAATTAGAAATAAAATTAATAATTAACAAGTTAATCTAAACTGGATCTAACAAAATTAACTAATAATGAAATAGAAAGATAATACCAGAGATTAATCAATTTTTTTAATTTATCTTAGTTATCTAGATAACAAGAAAAAGATTTATACTAATTAGTTTATAATTTATTTGAGACAGATATATCAAAAAAAGGAATTTTAATAAGTAAATATCAGTTATAACTCTGATTTCAAAAATATTCAACTTGAATTCTAACTAAAATAACTAATATTATTCATAATTTATATAAAAAAGTTACTTTATTTAATTAACAAAAATTATATTATACTTAATAGTCAAGATTTTGTACTTTAATTAATACTTTAGTTAGAATTCTCATATCAGTCCTATTATTATTCACTTTAGTCTCAACTTCTAATATATTCTTTATTAATCTTCTATATAAAGAAGAACTATTTCAGTTTAATCCAGAAGTATAACAGAAGAAGAATTATCAAAAGAAGAAGTTTCACACTCCATTATTTTAGACTCATCATTTTTTCACTCTCAAAGAAATCAAGAAGATATGAATACTATATAAGCTTTAATTCAAGTATTAAATCTATTGATAATCATAATGCAGAATCAGCAGAATTAATAAGTTAAGTTATTAACAGTATTACTTTCTTTTTATAATAATGAAGTATATAAGAATCCTATGAATTAAATTAAAGAATTTAAATAATTAGCAAATACTAATAATATAATAAATAAAAAAAATTAAAATAGTATTTGCATATTTA